CTAGTTGTGAAACTTTCTGTCAACATGTAAAATTTGCAAGTACGTTAAAACGTTTCTGTACTTAAACCTGAAAATTTATTTAGGCTGTAAGCAGCTGACGAGAAGCCAACGAAATAAATGATGGTACCATGTTATTCTGCACAAATCAATGTTGTTCTCGCTTTATTCAAATTTATCAAGGGGAATAAATGCATGAAGTTTCTCATGCGTATAGAAGAACTGACTAACTTGACTTTGTTTGTATTGAAAATCCGACCGAATTTTGTTGTTGAGATAATGCCCCCCTCCTAGAATAGTGAATGAAGTATAACCTCTTTCGAATCCCTCCCGCTGATGGTGATTGGCGCTGGATGTAGTTGTTGTTGTTGTTGGCTGGTTATTTTCATAACCTCCGTCTTGTCTATGTTCCCATGGAGTCCTGTCTTCGCTGGCTGCTTATTCGACCAGTTTGTCGGTTTTCGCTTGTAATCTTCGATTTTCTGTGACATCAAACATCATCAATCATCCACGCGCGAAATCCACATTTTCTAGGTTCTTCATGTCTGTCCAGGATATCCCTACCTGTCTTCTCGTTTCCCATTCACTGTCTGACGCATAATCCAGTCAATCCACCACAATTAGGAATATCATTCATTGGCGATAATAAGCACCCTTGTCTGACTCTTGTGTTTACTCCAGACGCCTCACTGAGTTTTCCGTTGTGGATCACTTGATATGTGCCGCCGTCTATGGAATACATATATTTATGAAAAAAATTCGTAAAAAAAAGCGTAGAAAAGTGTCACAGAGGATACCTTCCTCTCACATGGGATAAAAATAGCTCTCAGTTTTAGCTTGGAGTATCAACAGAGTGTAATTCCATTGTGGGTAACATTTGTTTTGATAAAGTCTCATAGTGTTATACAGTAATATTTCCTTAGCAATAAATTCTGCTCGAAACTTGGTCATCAGTAAATATTACTACTCTATAACACTGTGAGACTTTATCAAAATAAATTTTACTCACAATCTTATTACACTCTACCACCACAGTCCACAAATTCCATTCTTATATCAACAGAGTAATTTTTTAACCACATTCTATGCATGTAATTATTTAGGCCTTCTAACGTCAAACATAACACAAATCTCTCCTGAGGCTAATCCTAACGTGAAAATATCCCTAAACTAACTGCAATCTAACTCGAACCAACTCTAATGTCGCCTTTTATTAGGTGGTTAACCTCCCCCTAACTTGTCCTTGGCTTAAAGCCTAGCTAAATCTTTCCCAAACCCGAGCTGAAACTTCCCAGATATCCTCCGATTTAATAACACATAACACTTCGATGAGCATTTTTTGTTGTTGTTCATGATGACAACATTATTTATTGGCCAGATTTCACTAACTTCCTCAGGTTTTCAAGTGGTGTGCTGAAAATTCGACACTGTACCACTAGTAGTACTGTTTCTGGAATAAGGCAAATTATTATTAATTTCAAAAAATTCTCAACTGGTGTCACCTCATGATGAAATCCTCCATCCAATCAAACATGAATCCCTACAAAACCAATACTTGAAAATTATTAATTAATCTGATGCTCACGAAAGACTCGCCCTATTCAGGTAGGCAGTGAGTGACCCGGGGTTCCAGTGGGAAACCGTGACCAGTAGGATACAACACGTTGAAGATGAGGCAGTAACTCACTCACTCACCGAAGAAGACATTTTGGAAATGGTCATGCTGTGTTGTGCGTGAATTGGCAGAAATTAGAATTGATGCACTTGCTGACAGGCCATTGGGTCGGGGGGTCAGGTCCCAGTGGCTTAATGGTCTACGCTACGAGCTAGCTCGCTAGTCTAGAAACCAGAAGGTCTTGCGTTCGAACATTGGCGGTAGGTGCGTACTGATGAAGAGTTCCAAATTAGGCTGACGAAACAGCTGGCTGTCCAGTAGTCCGTGCAGGTTTTCCAATGGTTCTCTAACTGATGTCAGCTCATGTTGAAATCCTCCATGAAATATATATATGGCTAGCTCAAACCAACACACCAGTTTTTAGTCCAATAATCCCCAACTCTCTTTTCCAACCTAATCCCTAAGCTGAGGACGAATTCGAAACCACCATATGCAGAAATCGATTACCACTGAGGTTTGTATGAGATAAGGTGAGAACTACTTCAATATTGAAATGTTACTCAAAAACAGTTTAAACGGGACAGAAACCAAACTATATTTTAATATATTTAACATTCATTAAGACATCTATAAAATACAATTTAACTGAGCCAGGCAAAAGAATATCCCCTTGTCGATAAATTCCTCCCCCTTCACCTCTTCTCGCTCTACAATTACATCTATATATGCATGCATGTTTATATACATAGAATATTCTAGATTAGTAGTAGTCAATAACAATATTAGTGTGCTTTTTAAATAATATCGATTTGTAAAGTAAGATCACAATGGAATCAACACCACAGTTCATTAAAGATGCTGAAATTACAATAATAATACTATTAAAGAAATAGTAGGGAATGGAATATTAACTAAAATTAGGAAAATTCCACAACAAATTCAGGATCATTCAAACCTGGATGGATGGCCAAGCGGGTAAGGATAATTAATGTCAGAACCAACCAACTTCTTTTCGACGCACAAATTAGGTTTGTTAATATGGATCCCAACACGGTCAGTCAGTCAGCCTCAGAAATATTTAGTAGTAGGTGAACTCTTAAGCCGAAATTGAGATTCGTTGGTTGGTATGCGGTAGGTAAATGACCCTGAAAGCCGCCACCATGTCAACATCAATCAGTCCTGTGTTCGGTATCCACATGATGATTGAGATGGATAGAATAGCGCTGTGAATAGATTTGGTTTGTCCTTCACTTAACCAACGAACCACTGTGCAGGGTGATGTTCGGAAACTCGATGAGAAACACGCCTAATTGTGTACGGTCTATGCAAGTAACTGGCTGTCTGGTTCACTCCACAAGAGCAGTTCAAATCGTAGATACACACACATAGAAGAGGTGAAATTAGTCAGTTTGTCTTTTACTCCCCAACTTAGAGAGTCACTGAAATTCTTTGCATATAAATAAAGTTGGCTTCCTGCTTTCCTGTCTTCAACCTCCTAATATCAGTAACTTACAGTGCACTGTGGGGGCAAGCAACCTAGTGTGGCATACTGGCCCCAACATTGCAAAGTTGACTAATGGTAGAATTCAGTCGGCATTAATCGAAGGGCTAGACACGCACACACTACACTAGTTACTACTAACTAACCAACTAGTGTCCAACTAAAAAGTGATAAGATGCTTAAAAGGCCTGCTACTACATATTTAAGCTTAAAAAGGGACATAATCCTATTTGCGCAAACACATCATTTACAACTACAAAAAAAGATTGCGCAAATGATAGTTGATCACAGTGGTTTACATTTGAACACGTCTCAAGAAATCGGAACTTTGTCATACAAGTGATACATGTGTGTGTGTGTGTGTATAAATAGTGTGATACGAGTAAATCTCCAAAATAATTACAGATGAAGAACTGAAGATGAATTCATCAACTTATTTTAAGCATACAAACAATCATATTTTACAGGATATCATCATGAGCTGACAATAGTTAGAGAACCACTTGAAAACCTGCAAGGAGTACTGGACAGCTCAATATACGTGTAAAACTTCGGGACTTTGGTGGTAGTAAGTAATGCCATATTAGTTTCTTTATTAGTTGTATCACACAGTCAGTGAGTGAAACAGTATTAGTATTAGTACTGGATGACGACGCCTTTCGAACACAATTCATTATTGCTGTTCATAACCATACACATCACCAATTATAATCACACGACTTCGAAACTTGACTTTTATAGTTTTCTTTGTTCTCTCCTATTTGTCATCGTTGGGGTAGTAGAATTTCCCAGATATTTGTGTGGACAGGTGTTGAAACATTGCACGTGTTGATTCGCAGTTGATTCAATAAACAAAGCTTCCACTACCAATCTTCCCGACTCGCCACCCTGTGACATTAGATTTTGAAACTGTCATCTTATCCCATCCAGCCTATTGTATGGTTGTGTGGTGTGTAACTGCATGTAATCCTGTGGTTGAACTATTCTCTAGATTTCTTATCTTAATCGGGTAAACCAAACTAGATGTCTCTGCTAGGTTTTTATGCTCGACTAGTCTGACTGACTCATTGACCCTGTTCTACTAATTTGACCCACCTATGTATTTGACCTGACAATCATTCCAGCAGGCAGGGTATTAGATAAACTAAATTGTTTTGTTTTAAAGGCGTCACTGTCAGGATTGATCCTTTAACCGATAACGTTTGCTTCTAATTGAGTTTGTAGTTGGTTTGAATGTCGGCTACTTTTATTCCTGTCTGTCTTGTTAAGAATTCTCCGCTCTAGGTTGGTTTCCGTGGTTCCTTCCTTGTATGGGATTACTACTGATGATTTAGATTCCTTATTGTTGGTGTTGTAATTAATAGTATAATTATTATTACTATCATTATTTATTTTATTTTTACATTTCCTTACACGTCTCCTGACTAATTTATCCGGGTAATTATTAAGTTTCGAGGCTTCTTTTATGTGTGTCACTTCTTGTCTTAGATTTCCCTTGGTATTACATATTTTTGTGCTCTATTGTCATCTATTTACTGATATAGATAGAATGAGATGACCGGAATTCCGAATGTATCTGTTTGAATGTGTGGGTTTCCTGTAAACACACACACACACACACTTGCGTGTTTAACTTCCCATCTCCTCCGTACTTTTTACGCCGCTGCAATCTAACATTGGAAGCATCCCTGCTTCCTGACTTTCCAATTCATCATAAGTGAATTGAATTTAGTCCCCTCTACCTTAGAGTGGATGTCTTCGAAGAAGCTGCTTTATCCTATGAGTGTGACATCAAGGATCTGCTGTTTTTCAGCTCAGTGATAGATTACTCCCCCACTCCACCCCACCCAACAGCGCATATATTGTAAAACAAATAGATATATATTTATATACATGAAGTCGTAAGATATTCAGTTTATTTAAAAAAATAGTAAAAATAAATGCATTCAAATAGAAAACAGAACAAAACAAAAAAGTCGATATATATATATCAAAAAGTCAATTCATTCACATGGATCCATTCATTCGCATCGATTTATTCATCTAACCATATAAACCTTGTGGGCCTCCTCCTCCTCCACCACCACCACTACCAGGAGCAGTTGGAAACCCTGTAAGACCTGAATTCAACGCGGCTGGACCAGCTGAACTGATCGGATAAGATGCAGCGACAGTTTGTGTGATCAATAGGACAAGTTGAACCAGCGCTGAATCACTACTGCTTGAAGCCATTGCATTCGCTTTCGATTCAACATCGGTATCATGCAGCAATCGTAGTAGGCTTGGACTGCTACCGCCGCCAGTATCCGACTGACCTCGTAGATTGTTGGACGAAGTACCAGGGCCACCAATACCAGTGTTATTACTACCACTATTATTGCCAACACCGCCTTGCTGTTGACCACTTGTTGGATAAATGACAACATGATTCGCCTCCCAATCATAACCGACAACGACGAGTTGTGCAAGTGGAACTGGACCTTTAGCCTAAAACATACACAAACACACACACACAAAAGAAAAGAAAATTCAAACAACATTATTGATTTATTTATTACAGTGAATACTTGCTTGCTTGCTTACTTGTGTTGATTGTAGGGAGGTTGAAATTTTTACGAAGCAAAAATTTCTAGCCAGCGAATCATCATTCTGATGTGCATACAATTCAGATTGCAGTAGCAAAGACAGGACTCCAAGTGAACATAGACAAGACGGAGGTTATGAAAATAACCAACCAACCAACCAACCAACAACATCCACCGCCAATCACCATCAACGGGAGGGATTCGAAAGAGGTTACTTCATCATTCACTTACTTATCTAGGGAGCATTGTCTCAACTACAGGCGGTCGGAACGGACGAGGATGTCAAATCGAGCGAGAATCCGGGGGTGAGGGTGGGGGTGGAGGGGCAAGAAACACATTCACTCATCAACGTGAAACCAATCTGGAAATCTTCGTCACTTAGCCAGCAACAACAACAAAATTCGGTCGGATTTTCAATACAAACAAAGTCAAGTCAGTCAGTTCTTCTATACGGATGAGAAACTTGGCGAGTTGGTCACACAGAATATTTCCACCAACAGCCTATTGCAGACGTTACCTTTATCCACAACTAACAGTCTTCGCTCTATACTTAAGATCAGATGGCCGGGCTGGAAAGAATCACCAACAAGAAGAAACTATGGAAACAAAGAAAAGAAAACAAGAACCAATCGCCCAACAACAACAAATATGCAGGAGAAAGTGGAATGGAATGGATTGGACTCTCTCTGAGGAGGCCGCGCTAGGTGACATCGCGCGTCAGGCCATCGCTCGAGTGGAACCAGGCCGAAAGGGAAGTGGCGAGTGGGTCGTCAGTGCGAGGGTGACTAGAAGGAGGAGGAGATCGTGTGAAGAGGAGTTGAAACAGTATGGCCTAATATGGATGATGCAGGTGAAAAGTAAGTATAACAGAAGGAAGACAGAAGCAAGTGGAGACGTGCAGTTGAAGCCCTATGTTCCACACTAGGAACCTTAGGGAACAATAATAATAATAAGTTCACAGTGCTGAATTTACAGTCCAATTATTCAGATGTCATGAAATATACACGTTTGATCACAGGGAATAAAAAGACAGTTGCAGCGAAGAAAATTTTCTTTTCGACGAAATCATCATCAACTAGGCAGCTGGTGGTGCATTCGTGTATTTATATCGAATGGATGGGAAAGTTCCAGAATAATTTCTGATCAAGGGTCAGATTAATAAAATTACAATTAGGAATTAAAACGCCATAAGAAACAGAGCGGTGGGACGGATAAAACTCAGACAAAGTAGCATCATAGATACTGAGATTGACACCGATTGTGTGCAATTAGGGGTTAGGATGTGGAATTAATAAAATAACAAAATAGACAGAAAGTTCGGATATGAAAATATGGTAGTGTAAATAGGAGGGAGGGGTTAAGAAAAACTAATTAATAATAACATGAATAAACAGGAAGTTTAGATAAGAAAGTCAATGGGATAGTCACTAGTAGAAGAATTACCTGTTTATGATGGCTATATTATAGAGAAGATTTGTAGCTCAGGTGGATGATTTTGATGTGGTTTTGTTCTCTGAGCTGGATGGTTAGTTTGCGAAGCTTTCATCACCTTACTGGGTGACATCTTCAGCGCATACTTCAAATTGAAGTATGCGCTGAAGATGTCACCCAGTAAGGTGATGAAAGCTTCGCAAACTAACCATCCAGCTCAGAGAACAAAACCACATCAATATGATGGCTATGTTAGGCTGGGACAAGGTTTGAACGTACTTCTTTTGGATACACAGTGTGAGTTTGGCTTTTGGATGGCTAGTGCCTCGACAGCTATGCCCAGATGTCTTAATTTTAAAATCTTTAATAGGTTTGATCGAATCTTGGATATTATTTTGAAGGATTTTTCGAACTATATTTTTGAACTATATACCCGTTTTTGTTCTCCTTTCACTAGCCAGGCTGGATAGTGTTCTATTTCTATTTATATATATTTAATCCCTGAGTGCATAAACAATTATCCGTCACATTAGTTATGATCCCATTAGATTCTTTTGTTATCCAACCATCTTGTCTATCTATTGTTGTTATTTCTACATTTCTAACATCCAACTGTGCACAATCAATGTCAATCTTCAATCAGTAATTATGAGATGCTACTTTGTTTGAGTTTTATCCACAGTCCCACCGTCCGTCCCTGTTCATTATGGCATGTTAATTCCTAGTTGTAATTTTGCTTTTATCTGATCCTTGACCAGAAATTATTCTGGAACTTTCCCCTGCTACCCATCCATTTATTGTTAATTATAAATACACGAATGTGTACAGCTCTGTTTACAGTTGACGATGATTTCGTCGAAAAGAAAAGCGTTTCTTCCTCGCTTCAACTGTCTTTTATTATTATTATTATTCCCTATGATCAAATAAATAACTCAGGAATCCAGTTAACGCTGATGATGTACTGTAGGGCACTAATCAAGGCACTCTATTCAAACTCACGTAGTCGTGTAAGGGCTTTCCTACCCATTTATTATAGATACGCGACTGTACAGCCTAGTTGGTGATTTTGTCGAAACTTTCTTTTTACACCCTATTATTCAGATGTTACAACTCAACTGACTATTTGTATGAATAGACAGAGAGAGATTATCTCTCTGTAAGCACAAAAGATAATACACCTGTCAACTACTTTCCACTGATGAGCGACAGCATCCTGACTGACTGACTGACTTACTCCTATTGTTAAGGTTAATTCTCCTTTCATTTCGAAGGAATACTTTATTTTTCTATCGTTGGTTTGTGTCAGGGCTAGTTTTTGTTTTACTAGCTGATCACGGATTGATATCAGTGACTTGTTACAGGATGGAGTTTCCTGAAGTCAGTTCTAGTGAGAAGTTGAGACGAGTGAGGTCCAAACAGTACAGTAGTCAGGTGAGAGGTTGGATTTCCCACCCATGACTACCGATGACATTGGTTGGTGCCAGTCGTGCTAAATGTATCACGAATTCGTAGAAGGTAGACTTCATGGGCTGGATGGCCATTGGGGAATCGGGTCCCAGTGAGTGGCTGAATGCTATACGAGCCAGCCAGCTAGCTGGCCTTGTAACCCGAAGCTCCTGGGTTCAAACCCTGGCGTGGTGGTGGGTGCGTGCTGGCGATGATAATTCCCAAACTAGGCTGATGAAACAGCTGGCTCGCCAGCACTCAATGTGGCTTGTTTTCAATGCTTCTCTAACTGATTGATATCAATCCGTGATCAACTCGTAAATGCTTATTTTATTCTATTTCACAAGTTTAATTTTCACATTTTTCTTGTGTAATGAAGTTTCTCTAGCGACTGAATCACGCTTTTCCGGAGTACAGTACAGTAGAGTACAGTCAAACTATTCCCCTTTTTTTCACAGACTTACAGTCGACAGGCACTTTGACTCATGTGAAATGTGGGCTAAATCCATTCTATCTATCTATCTAACTCACACCATCACCCTCTTCATTCACAACTCTCCAACCGCCCCTGTATCTCATCAGGCTGAACCAGAAGCCTATATAGCAAAATTATATGTGCTCTCACTAGTAAGTACAAAACCTCAACCATACCCTAATTAACTTGTATTCTGTGCGACAAAGAAGAAAGCATTAGGCGTGAAACTGATAACTTATTAAATAGTCAGTAGAACAATTTGCATCTCGTCTTTCCAACTCCTCATATCATTTATAGGTACAACGTTTTCTTTCTTTCTCTCTTTTCCTTTTCTCTCCTTTTATTTCTTCGTTCTTTCACACTCTCTGTATATCTCGATCATTTTGTTACCGCTTACGCCAGTAAATATGCTAGTCTATCTACTTTCCTAACACCTTCAAACAACATTCTGTTCACTTTTGGATTTGCTACTGACCGATATGCCACCGATTTGTTGTTGTCAAAAACGAACTGAGACTACCCACCCATAACCTAAGCAGAATTTTATTTATTGTTAATGTACAAACTGGATGCGCAATACTGTAGTGAAATGGTGAGAATTCCATTCTGTGTATCACAAGTATCGATTTGGTATAAAGCAAACGTTATAATAATAATAATTATTATTATTATTATAAAGTTTTGACGGTTGAATCGAAGCCTTCGAATTTCAGTGGGACCAACATCGTTCACTGGCAATTCATACAGTTGACGAGTACCAAAACAGGACGATACACATATGCAATTCCAACAGAACAGCACCCTATGCCAACAACTAGTTATTACAAATTGCTTCATCAGAGATTATAAAATTATGCATATTATAGTAGTGAAAGACAGAATTAAAAAAACAACAACAACAACAAATAAACAAGCCTACCTGATGACGAGAATGTGACCGCATAATCAACAATTGTAGTGTTATTTTAGGCGGACGTACAATTATTCCGGGCATACCGACTTGTAAATCTGTACCTGTATCAAATATGAGTAGATTTTGTTGTGCAGAATTCGTCGATTGATTATTATTATTATTATTCCCCATTGAATTGGCCACGGCAGTTACACGAGAATTGATCCCCATACCAATAAGACCAATACGAACATAAACAGGCGCTTGAGCAGGTGAGTGAAGATCAAAGGCTAGAACACGAGCCATTGCACGTAAAGCGTGTGGTGGAAGCAGCAAGAGTTGGAAAAATGCAGTGACTGCACTTGGTTGAAAAGGAAATGAGCAAACCTGAAATAAAGGCCAGAATACACACAAGAATCTAGCGGTAACACGAAGCAAGACAGTTGAACAGTTAAACAAAACATTAATGAGTAATAATAATAATGATAAGCTGGGAGAATGAATTCCAATATTCCAAAGCGCATATATTAAGTACCGAGGAATTACCATATTAGTTTGTTTATTAGTTGTATCACACAGTCAGTGGGTGAAACAGTATTAGTATTAGCACTGGATGACGACGCCTTTCGAACACAATTCATTATTGCTGTTCATAATCATAGACATCACCAATTATAATCAAACGACTTCGAAACGTGACTTTTATAGTTGACTTTGTTCTCTCCCATTTGTCGTCGTCATTGGGGTAGTAGAATTTTCCAGATATTTGTGTGAACAGCTGTTGAATCATTCCTATTGTAGGCTGTCTACTATCGCCAATGATCTTTCTGATTGCAGTAGATTGGATAATGTGACAGACAACGGCCAATGAGGAAACACGCATAAAATGGACTCACACACAAAACGAACTTGGAGGATCTGGACTTCGCCGATGATAAATGTCTGATTACCCACACACTGGAAGATATGCAAGTGAAAGGGAACTAGTTGGCCATAGAAGAAGCATCAAAGATAGGACCACCTTCAGGTGAACGTAGATAAAACAGATGTGGTGATGAAGATTCCTGGCCAACACCAACACCAACACCGGCAACAACAACAGACAATAATCAGCCGGCATAAATGAGAGGAACCTGAAAGAAACAACCTCCTTCACCTATCCGCCTACCTGGGAAGCATCGTTTCAACTACAAGTGGACGAAACTGACAAGGATATCAAAGCCAGGATCATCGAAAAAGCAAGACAAGCTTTCATTACTCTCAAGTCTGTGTGGAGGAGGAGGTCAACACCACTCAGCGTGAAAAATAACATCCGGATCTTCAACTCCAATGTGAAGTCAGTCAATGCTACTCGTTAAACGGATCAGAGACTTGGCCAGGACGTCATAACGAGCATCTCAAACAAACTTCAGACCTTCATTAACAGAGATTGAAAACTATTGAAACTTTCATTCCTATTGAATGGATGATCTGATTGGGAATTCAAATACTTATTTGAATGTGTAGGTTTTCTTTATATATTGTGAACTCTAGTTTCTCGTCAGTTTGTCTTTTTGTAAGACAACCAAGAAAGTTTAGAGTTCTCTTGTCGGATTCTACTTCATTAGGAGACTGGAATCGGGTCCAAGTGAGTGGCTGAATGCTATACGAATCAGGTAGCTTGCCTTGTAACCGGAAGCTCCTGGGTTCGAACCCTGGCGTGGTGGTGAGTGCGTACTGCCTACCGATGATTACCAAACTAGGCTGATGAAACAGCTGGCTCTCCAGTACTCCGCCCCCCTCCAGCTGGTTTTCAATGCTTCTCTAACTGATTGATATCAATGCATGATCAACTCGTAAAAACAAACAAAACTAATCCTTACGAACCAAACTATAGAATATTTATATATTTCTTGTTGACTATGCTCTTACTCTATTATCGAAAAATTCTTCAAAAACGCTAAGTGAATCTGGAGGCCATCGATGATCACAAGCACCACTTTGATTTTGAGTTAACTGAAGTTTTAATCGCCACCAACACGAGGAAGGAGAACAAGAAGACGATTCAATGCCAGTCGGTTGACGACAACAGGTTGACAACATTGACACATGGACAGTCAGCTGACAAATTGGCCAAACAGACATAAATGCAGCATTCGCATATACATCATTCGTATTCTGCTGATTGATTCGATGATCGTCCGCCTTCTGGTCATTCATCACAGCAAGTACAGGAACATCTAAGCTTTGATTGGCTAAAACAGCCGCGTGAAATAGAAGACTCGTTGACAAGTAGGATTCAAGCAGTGTTAGCTTAGAATTCATTCGATTAGAAGTAGTCATAGTAGTAGCAGTAGGAGTAGGGATAGTTGAACATTTTGAAGTTACTCTTAATTTCAGTTTGGTATAAGTTGGTCTGATTAGCTGAATAAATTGACTAACAGTCAATCCTGTCGATATTTCTGTCAACAAAAATTTAAACAAAATCAAAATCAATGATTCAAGAAGTGTGGAAGAGATTCCTCGATGATAAAAATAATTAATGAATTGATTATATTTAAAAACAATTGGTTTTCGGTTTATGAATTTAGATAAATCAAAAGAAGGATGACGTAAATTGTCTGAATCATGTACCTCTAGAAGAGGAGAATTGTTTATCTTTCCTAAACGACATATTGCTTAGTCGACGAATGGCTTGATGGGTCAACAAAAAGATCTATGTACATAGAAAACCTACCTGGACAGGACAGAACAGTGCCTTAATTACCACAGTTTCTGCCCTATTCAGTACAAAAGTGCCTTAGTGAGCAAGGTGCCTCTTCACAGTAGAATCCAACGAATATGCACTAAAGACAGATACACTTGACGATGAGGAAGAAAGAAAGTTGACACAACTCTGCTCTGATTGATAACAATTATCCAGACAAGTTCATCAGGAGATATAAAGTTGTCAGTGGAACACCAGGACTCACTCTAGAACTCACCCCTAAGACGTGTGCATGAAGCTATCCTATATGGGGGTGGCATCATAGCAGCTTGATAACTAGACAAAGATTGAACGCCGTTGTGGTTTAAAAGACTTTTTATGCAGGTAATATCAGAATAATTGAGAATGTGAAGCCAATATATCCATCCATCCATCCATCTAAGCCCGTCGAACATAAGAAAAATGATGTCACATCCCATTGTATTTACCAATTTGGATGTACGTGCGCATAGGGAGGACTTATCGATTTCTGCAAATAAGGGCTAGCTTCACAACATATTCCTAAATGGCTCCAGAAACAAGTGGAATCTTCAGAACCCATTAATGGTGAGAACAGACGAAGACCTAGCTGGCTCCTCTATTGCGAAACATATTGTAGAGAAGACAGGACATAAAATTGACGTTAACTAACATATATTTCAAAGGCACATCTAATAATAGCGTGTTTAGGTGAGGGCGTATCCTAACGTTTGTGGAATCCATCCGTAGCTGGCAGTTAGGATGTTTTCAAACCATCTTTATGCCTTCAAAGCAGGACCAATCCGTCATCACACTAACTAAACCTACCTGCCTTACTTGTTATTAGTGGTAAACTTTGTTTGTTTTGATCGCCACCAGCCAGTCAGGGTAGATGTACTATCTGACCTCTGTTATTTGGTTTAGTCATCATTCATCTTCATTGTGATTTTCACACCTTCAATATATCCTCCTTTTCACTTGACTTGACCTAAGAAGTCAAGTAGTTTATTTTCTCACCTATCCACCTCTTAACTCTCTTTATTATTTTCACATATTCTGTATATTCCTATGACAAGTTCGTGAGTGAGTGTGTGTCAACAGTTCAGTGGAGGACTGCAGAGACATTGCATCGTGGAAAATGGAGAGAATTACTTCTTTGTTGGGTAGAGAAGTGTTATGTACTGCTGCTGAGTGAGTTATCAGAGTTTTCCCCGTCGCCAATTATGTTATTTACTGCTCATCGAGTAGTTAATAGTCCTGACGCGGAAAGAGGGAAATCAGAAGACCATCAGGTTTACGAGGATACTTGTATTTTCCAGACAAGGAAAATAAATGTCACACAAGTATGTGAGTGGAAGGGAACTTAGATGTACGAAATGTGTGTGAACAGTAATGATAGTGATAAAATGTACAATGCAAGTATATATGAAAATGGCTAATACACATAAACCAATAAGATAACGTCTTACCATGATTGGTTGTAATGTCATGTGATAACAAGGTCATACATTGTTTAGTGGACAGACAAAAGCATATTGTCAGTTATAATGAAATATCGATCCATATACACATAGCAAAATATGATAGACTGTCAACAGCAAAACACACACACATCATGTGGACACATATCAAGAAGGCATCGTTCGTTGTACGAAACTGTGTTACTGAAGAAAAAGTACAACCGTGGTCGTCACCTCCCTGCGGAAAGGATTCTTGGAGAGAATACCAGACAGAAAGTCTACTACTCTAATACTTATTATTTATTACTAAACTGGTGAAACAGGGATCAATAATACATCCGGATGAATGGAAAGGTTATAACTATCTGTCATCTCTTGGATTTATTCATCATAGAGTGAATCACCATTCCAGTGATTTTGTCGATCCTATAACGACGAGATACACGAATTCTATTGAAGGATTTTGGAGAGATTGAACAAAAAAATAGGACCTGGGGCTATAAATAGATCTCAAAAGGATCTCATTTATAGTCATTTGAATGAATATGTATTATGATACAATTGGTGGATGGTGACTAGCAGTGGAATCGAGGATGCGCATTTCGTCCTATTTGGGACTCGTCAGCTGGATGTACCTGCATTTCTCAGTGAGTGATGATGTTCCCACCGAGGCTCGAACCCAGTACCCATAGTTTCGAACGCCAAAGCGTTATCCACTAGACCACTTGGGCCACGAGAGCCACCTCTTGTGCAACGGGCCTTGGTGGGAACATCATCACTCACTGAGAAATGCAGGTACATCCAGCTGACGAGTCCCAAATAGGACGAAATGCGCATCCTCGATTCCACTGCTAGTCACCATCCACCAATTGTATCCTAACTAAATGCCCAGACATCGTCGAAGCATCTGCACAAGAAGCCGACATGTCAACCATAGACCGAGCACTTCGGACCAATCAATCGACGGGAAAATCAAAAAATCCAATTCAATGAATATGTATTATATGTATAGAATATATGGTGTAACTTTTCTATTGACAGTCCTGTGCTAAACTGGGAGACGCTCCTCTCACGTGTTAGGGAAAGATATCCCCTGTAACAGTTTTATGCTTTTTTTTCCATAAATATACGTTATCCTTTTTATCAAAAATCCCTCTTTCATGTGATCCGTTGGTCCGTTCGCTTGGTTGTTCGCTGATTGGTGGTGGTTAGTGGTGCTGAAAGTTTAACTTTGCCAAATTCAGATACTCATACGAGAGAGAGAGAGACGATTCAAAATCCTTGTGGTTAGAACAAAGACGACAAAGATGAATGGTTACACATACATAACAACAACATTTGGCATCGATTAGCGTATAAATTACTCAAAATCACTTGTAAGTAAATAATTTGATAATATCAGATGTACACTTAATGTTGGGGGAAACATGTCACGTGAAACTAGTAATGATAACATAAATAAGAGTAAATATAAGGCATCTACATCAGTTATACCATATAAGGAGGGGATGTCTGAGACACTCACTCCCAACGTAGGATTCTCAATAACAAAGCAGGAATTAGGCTGGTGGTGGCATTTAAACCTACAAACTCACTCACTCAGGTAGGACAAGCTCTGTAGGCTAGAAGACCCGGTTGACCAAATTAGACAAAATATAAAATATTACAAAATACCCTCCAATGACTGTGAGTTAGGTCAACTACAAAGGTGAAACACACTAGTAGATCGGGGGTAGTCAGATTGTCGGAACATACGAATTTAGCAACGGTGTAAATGGTTGACCCCACTCGAAAAGATAAGTAATTTAGAAAAAAAAGCACTCAGCACTACCTTGCACTGCATGCATGCATTAACACACAACCACAAAACGGAATGGTGGGAGAGGGTTAAAATTCTGAAAAGTAATCTAGGTAGGTGGACAGTGAGAGCGGTTGATTACTGAATCCTGGCTGGTTCATCGAGTTTACACCCAACACATGCAATAGGCATAACTCATCACTAATACTGGAAATATGCAAAATACTACTACCAGTCAAATCAACCGACGAATTGAAATAATGGAATTATATAAACGGAGTTGGAAAGTTGTATGTGAGTAGTGCCTTGATATGATTATGAGCAGTAATGAGAATTGTGCTCGAAGCGTGTGGTCATCCTCAGTAAATATTACTGCATAACAACACTTTGAGACTTTATCAAAATAAATTATACCCATAATGGAATCAATCACACTCTATACCACCACCACAGTGCACAAGTTTTATTCTCATATATCAATTTAACTTCTGTTCTCAGATAACGTAGTCGCAATGTCATAGATTTTGTAACATTGTGAACAGAATGTCACCAGCGGCGGCAGCGAAACTATCCTCACTCCTTTTGTATTAGTCCACTCATATCTGTCCACTCCTCAGAATAAGCTGAAAAATCATCACCGTTCACACAAATAGTACCAAAAATGAGAAACAGTCACAGTGAACACTACAACTCGAGAGGTGGTCGGTGGTCACCTCACAGTTGCTTTATATAATAGTGCTTTCTTGGCTTGCTGCTAGATAACCAACCCTCACAACTGACTTCAAGATATACAACCCACACATATATATATATAACGCTGACAATTATTATTCTGGTTCATTTCGATGCTTGATTAACAAACAATATGTGAGACATTTAACTGAATTTTAGATTTTCCCGTCTATCGATTGATTAATTGACTGGACCGAAGTGCTCGGTCTCATGTGTTGACATTTAAATTAATATGATCCGTTGCACAAGACGTGGGGTGGCTCTCATGGCTCAAGTGTTGGAAACTATGGGCATTTGGCTAGAGCCTCCATGGTGTGAACATCATCACTGACTCACTGGAGAATGCAGATACATCCCCGGCTGGGGGACGAGTCCCAAATAGGACGAAATGCGCCTTATCCTGGACTGGATTCCACTACTAGTCAACATCCGCCGATTAAATTGTGAGATATTTGATTAAATTTATAATGGTTGACATACTGTGTCCAAGCGTGGAATTACAACAAACGAGAAACATGCGACGACTTCAGTCCCAATTGCATCGAGTAACAAAAAGCAGCTTAATTCAAGTGTTGGTTTGTAGGGATTTGATTGATTGGTCACAGGATTTCATCATGAGCTGACACCCGTTAGAGAACCATTGGAAAACCAGCTGGCAGTACTGGATAGCCAGCTGTTTTGTCAGCCTAGTTTGGGAAACTTCATCAATGCGCACCCACCCCACTGACAGGGTTTGAATCCAGGACCTTCTGGTTACAAGACTAGAGAGATAGCTCGTAGACCATTGAGCCACTGAAACCCGAACCAATGGTCAGTCAGCAAGTGCATGAATTCTAACTTCTGCCAATTCACGCACGACATACCGTGACTAGCACTAGCCAATGTCTTCGGCGAGTATTTGTCGTCACACCCGATCTGCCACATCCTACTGGTCACGACGGAACGTTTAGACAACAAATGTGTTGCCAGAGTATCCGTGTTACACACACACACACACTGATGAACAAAAGATCAGATTTCTGGAAACAACTTTTTCTTTTTTTTTATATAGTTTGGTTTGTAAGGGTTAATGGGTTACTGGACAGCAGTTTCGTCAACCTAGTTTGGGACTCTTCATCAGTGCGCACCCACTGGTGTTCACACCCAGGACCTTCATGATGAAATCCTCCCTCCGATCAAACAAAATCCTTACAAATCTAATACTTGAAAATTAAACTGATGCTGTAAGGAGTGACCTGGGGTTCTTTCCAGTGGGAAGTCGTGACCACTAGGGTACAGCAGGTTGAAGATGGGACAGTAACTCACTCATCGAAGAAGACATTTCGAAATGGTCGCGCTATGTCGCGCGTGAATTGACAGAAGTAAGAATTCATGCACTGGCTGACTGACCACTGGATCGGGTCCCAGTGAGTGGCTGAATGGTATACGAGCCAGCCAGCTAGCTGGCCTTGTAACCGGAAGCTCCTGGGTTCGAACCCTGGCGTGGTGATGGGTGCGTACTGCCGATGATTCCTAAAACTGTCCAGTTCTCCAGTGCTGGTTTTCAGTGCTTCTCTAACTGACTGATATCAATCCGTGATCAACTCGTAAAAAACAACCTTTTCTCTCGAAAAATCGACGATTAGGCTAGGCGAAACAAAAAATTTAAAAGCAAGCATATGTGTACACGCATCAGTTGAAGACTTACCCTCTGCATTCATTTCAAACAATTCCTCCAAGGATTTCAAAAATTTCTACAAAAAATTGGGAAAAATATAAGAGGAGTAAAAAGAAGCAGAACACAATCGGAGCAAAAAACACTTTACGAATAAAATGATCAAGAAATAAATGAAGAATCAAGTTAATAATAATAATAATAATAATCTACTTTATTCCAAAACGAACAGTACTTTGTAAATACAGAATGGAATTCTCAGCATTTGTCACAACACCTTACATCTGATTTACTTAATATATAAATAAAATTTAAAATTGAAACAAAAATTAACCAGAGGAATCTGTCCACATTTACGATACAAAGTCAAAAATATTCGAAGCACGAATTGAGAATATCAAATATAATAATAATCTGTCTGTCTGTCTGTTTTCGACATAGAACTTTGCACAAATGTGCGGAAGTTCAAGTTGCCACACTCCGTGTAGCACGCGAAGCAAGAGAAGAAAGTACAAGAAAAGCACAATAGAAACAGTGAGCCGAGGTGTGAGACAAAGGCGGAGTAATAACGGAGAACAAAACAGTTTCATTGGAGATCATAAGTCACAAGGAGTGGATGCATCTGCGCCACTGAGAACGATTTTGAGCCATGTCACCAATTGTTTCCAACCATTTGCTTTTACCGTCCCGAGGACCCCAACCAGTCAGGAAGTCTACACCTTCCTACGTGGCTTAGACCAACTGTTGTGGATTTCATTGACTGGTGCCAAGTTTTTGTTTGACCGCCGCTAGCTTTTTTCCAGCCTGACCCTACATCCGCTAGCATTGCCCATTGTCGAGGAAGGAGATGACTAGACATACGTTACACATGTCCTAACCATCTCAGTCTTTGTAGCTTCACGACTTCGTCGATTGATTTCCCCTGTTTACCTAGAACTCGACCGACGCCTAACTTTAATATTGGTCACCTTATTATGCCACTTTACACGGGAAATAGAACGCAGGCACCTATGATCAAAGACAGCTAGTCTTTTCATGTCTTCCACTCTCAGTGGCCAGGTCTCACAGCCAGCCATAAAGGAGGACGGAGCGGACTGATGAGCAGTACACCCGCTCTTTGGTCGATAGTCGAACATCTCGTCTACGCCAGAGTCGGCGTAAACTGGTGGCGTATGCGAAACGAGCCCCCTGTATTCGTGCTGAGATTTTGTCAGAGATCAACCCGTTGGCTTCGGCTGATGGTACTTCCCAAATAAGTGAAGCGGTCAACGTGCTCTACCACTTCACTTCCTATTTTTAAACTAGGCGTCGATGTAGTCCAGTCCTGTAACATCATCTTGCATTTCACAAGGGGAGCGAATCGCATACCAAACATCCGAAGATTGCAGCTCAAGGTGTTTAGAAGACTCTGCATTTTGTCAGAGTCATCGCCTAGTAGGACTATATCGTCTGCATATTCTAAGTCAACGAGATTATTCCCTCCCTGGTAGCAAGTCAATCCCTGAGTCACTGAAGTCACTTAGGGTTAAGTCCATTAACAGATCTATGATGAAGTTGAATAGAAAAGGGGATAATGGGCATCCTTGACGGACACCACTGGTCGTCATCAGTTCAGATGACAGCTCGCCGTAAGCCATCATAATACATACTTTAATGTTCGAGTGGTAGTGGTAGAGAAGAGATACTATGAAATTGACACATTCAAAATGAAAGCAGCATTACAATTTTTAGTTTAAGTTTTCATCATCAATTTGTACACTTTTAAAGTTGAAAGGAAGCAGGAGGAGGGGTAAAACAGAAAAAATTAATGAACAGGACAGTGTTCACATAACAACTCAAAAAAACAAAAGCGGTTACAGTTTATGAGATTAAGATTTTTTCACTGAGTTGAGATCACTGAATTAGATGACTAATGTAATTAACGTTATCAAAATCAAAATCCGCTTACCAAAGAAGTGAGAGGTTAATCAAACTCTCTTTCTGTATGCACAAGTCTGGTTGGTTTAAATCGTTTGATTGAGATCGCTTCGGCAAATCGTAGTAAATTTGCTGTCTTATGTCTATCCTTAGAAATCTCTACGAGATGTCCAGTATCAACAATATGTCTGGTAATTGCACTCTGAGAATATTTACTAACTTTCAGCGTCAGGTTCCTTGGAATATCTTCAGGAAACCACCGGATAGAAGCCCTTCTTTCCGTCCTTCCAATGTACTTGCTCTCTCAAGTGCATGTAAATTCTTAAACGCAGTTGAAAGACAAAATACGCAGTATAAAATGTGATATCATTATTTTATTTGACAGGTTCTCATCAGCAGCAAAACTCATAACATTACACAGCTCCACTTCTTCTATAAACCATTCAAAACTGGACAAATACCCTACTGATGTCACTCTGCAACTGAGTTTATGAATTTACGTGCCCCTGCGGGAGCAAGTACATTGAAGGGACAGAAAGAAGGGTTTCTATCCGGTTTTAAGAGTACTCTTTTTCCATCACGTTCCCCAGTGGAATATAGGGCTTCAAGCAAGCGACTTGAAGTTTCTGTAGTAGTGGTGTTTAATTTTACGGGATGGGGTTGCTAGCCAGCGTCATGTCCAAACTTTCCTCTTTACCAACATTATTTCTGGCTTAGCGAGGTAAAGGAGTGCGGCGTCGGCAGAGCGGGGATCGAACCCTGCACCGTGTGAGGCACGGTTGGCGAGCGTCCTAACCGCCATCAGTGCCACTGACGCGAAGAGAGCATATTCCGAGAAAATTATGTTTAAAAGGAAGTAGGTATTTACAAAGTGCAATTACCAGACACCCACCACCCTGTGGATACGCGCCATTTTTCAAATCCTTCAAAATATTGAACATACAAAGGACAGCGAATCTACTACGAATTTACAGCTGAAGCAACTACAGCAATCAAACGTCTCAGACTAAACTTATGCGCGCACACACACACACACAGAGACAGAGAGAGTGTGAGTGTAGTCGATCTCTCACTCCCTTGATAGCCGTATCACTTTCATTACACTGATTAGTCATGTACACTAGTGAGCTCAGCTCACTGAACAACTTTTCAATTAGATGAACTTTAACAATGTTGAGTTGAAAAGATGCTATAGGAGGCAATCGGTCACACAAAGCCTTATTATTATATCCTTTAATTCCTAGAGGAACATAGGGTTTCAGCAACGCGTCTCCATTGCCTTCGGTTTTCTGCCAACTTTTTCACTCCGCTCCAAGTCTGCCCACATGCTTTCATCTCCTCCTCTTCACATGACCTCCTCCAAGTCACCCTACCTTCGCACTGACGACCAACTCACCACCCGCTTCCCATTCAGTCGGGTTCCACTCGAGCAATGGCTTGTCTAGTGATGTCACCCACTTGATGGTTTGTTTCCTCAGAGTATGGCCAGCCAATCTATCTCCGTTTCTTCCTGCCTATCTGTTTCACAATCGGTTCCTGGTTGGTTGGTTTGCTCATTGTCAAAGATCCCTCCGTGTTGCTGATTCTTTTCTGGACGGCCAGCCATATGATCTTGAGTTATGTTGAGCGAAGACAACTGTTAATGAAGGTCTGAAGTTTGTTTGAGATGCTCGTTATGACGTCCTGGCCAAGTCTCTGATCCGTATGATGAGTATCATTGACTGTCTTCACATTGGAGTTTAAGATCCAGATCTTATTTTTGATGCTGAGTGGTGTTGACCTCCTCCACACAGATTTGAGAGTAATGAAAGATTGTCTTGCTTTTTCGATGATCCTGGCTTTGATATCCTTGTCAGTTTCGTCCACTTGTAGTTGAAACGATGCTTCCCAGGTAGGCGGATAGGTGAAGGAGGTTGTTTCTTTCAGGTTCCTCTCATTTATGCCGGCTGATTATTGTCTGTTGTTGTTGCCGGTGTTGGTGTTGATGTTGGCGAGGAATCTTCATCACCACATCTGTTTTATCTATGTTCACCTGAAGGTGGTCCTATCTTTGATGCTTCTTCTATGGCCAACTAGTTCCCTTTCACTTGCATATCTTCCAGTGTGTGGGTAATCAGACATTTATCATCGGCGAAGTCCAGATCCTCCAAGTTCGTTTTTTGTGTGAGTCCATTTTATGCGTGTTTCCTCATTTCCGGTTGTCTGTCTGTCGCATTATCCAATCCACTGCAATCAGGAAAATCATTGGCGATAGTAGACAACCAGCTTGTCTTACCCCCATGCTCACTTCTTCGAAGGATTCCGTAAGTTTCCCGTTGTAGATTACTTCCCATGCAGCATTGTCGTACAACTAACTGTTGGATGAGATGCATAATTGACGATGGCACCCCGTAGTAGCGAAATAGTTCCCAGATCACCTCTCCATCGACGCTACGCTATCGAACGCGTTTTCAAAGTCGATGAAGTTGAGATAGAGAGGTGACTGCCTGCAGTCAGAGACGTTACCACTGAGCTATTGACCGCAGGCGGCACTGGGTGATGCTGGTTCGAATCTCAGAAGAAGAGACATGAGCTGTTCCTTCAATGTGGTTGCAGATACGCCTTGCTCTCTGATTGAATGGTAAGTGCCAACCAGGACGAAACCTAGCTCCAGACAAGGCTTCCTCTTGTGGCCGATTGTCTCCAACAACTATCTAATATCATCAAATCAATGTGTGCACCGTCACCGAGACGGCGAGCTAGCCACCTAAGCTAGTTGCATGGTGGCCATATTACAAACCAAACCCGACTGACTAACTGACTGATAGAATTCAGTCTGCACCAATGAGAGGACTAGCCAGACACACATCACACTAGTTACTGACTAGTTTCCAATGAAAATATAAACCATCATTAATATAAAAATGAACAACACACCCCCACATACCGTGAAGGCTGGTAAAGGGACTAAATTGCACAAATCAGCGTTGCCACTATTCGTTTGACTATCCCATGACTCTGTAGGCACAGGAACAGATGGATACGAAATCTTCCCAGTTAACTGACTGTATCCATCAGATAACTGAATACACTTCAAGTACTTCCATGAATCGTTATGATTATAGGATGATGATGATGATGATTGCAGGCTGGGGAGTGTAGCTGGCTGCGGAAGTTTCTTCAGAATAATCCGTAGACTTAACGATGCACGATAGATAAGTATGAGATCATTTGATGACAAAGCGATAAGCACTATACCACGTACAGATTTGATAGAGTTGTTGGAGAAAGGGAAAACCTAGGAATAAAAACGATTTTTATGGAAAAAAAAGAGAAGAAAAACGAAGCAATTAATTGGTAATCGTCTCTCTGTCCTCCTTTCTCTCTGCGAATAGCCCTAAAATGAAGGTTAACTTTCAAATGAACTGTGTCTGTCGTCGTCAAGATGATTTGACAGAATAGTTCTAAAATATATTTAGGAGCCGAATGAGAAGTAGACATTTTAGAATTATTCTGTCAAATCTTGACGACGACAGACAGTTCATTTGAATTATTATTTTACAATCGAATTAAATTAACAAAGAAACGATGTGTAATTGGTACAATCATCGTTGTGCCAATCACTCTCTCCGTTGTCTGCAACACAGAATCCATATATCCTAAAGCCGTACGTAGGAGCTGTCGAGTCACCAACTGACAGACAACTCTCCAGTAGGTCGAATAAAGCACCTCAATCTTAACAAAACAACAACAAGAAGAAGAAGACAAAGCAATCAATTCGACAGGGTGTTTGCTCCTCATCACTAAACTCTAATCCTAAACACCAGAATTTCGAAAATATACGTCTCATCATAAAATTCTAGATATACTAACAATTTGAACAGACATGAAGGTGTGATGTGGTGTGGTGTGATGTTAGCTGACGATGCATTGGAAATTCTCATTAATAAACATATAAAAATGGATATGTATCACTAATAAATTATTAATAATACTTCCCCGAAATTCCCAACTATCTATATCTTCTTATGGAGATGTTGGAAATGCTTAACAACTGTTAACACACACACACACACACTGTTTGGAGTGTTTAACAAAGGTAAACCAATATTTGTAAGTCCGAGGTCAAACATTTTGATCACAGCTCACACAATTTTGTTTATTATACAACATGTTGATACTTGTTTCATGACTCATATAATTGGACAAAGTTTTTAAAAAGAGCAAGAGATGTCCCCCTTTTCTGCATATAAACCCCTGCTGTTATGTTAATTTCGATGTTAATTTCCCTGAAGAAGTTCGGACGAGATTTCAACGAACTCAGGAAACGTTGGAATTAATCATTCATTTCAATCTCGTGAGATTTTACAATTATAATTTTTCACAAAGACTAACTTTATCTCTCTCTCTCTCTCGGTATAAGAAGAATAATCCTTCCAAACCATTACGCAGAAAAGCATTATGTGAATTTAGGCTGGCTGACTGTATGAGTAGTATGACTGCCGTATTCTAAGCATTCACTACTGTGTTACTGGCTAAGATAGTAAAATCGCTTCCCCTTAAATAACTCGTTCTTATTTTAATTGAATTTGATATTTTCCCGTCGAATGATTGGACCGAAGTACTCGGTCTCAGGTTGACATGCAGGTGTGTATCCAGCTGACCACAATTAGTCCCAAATAGGACAAAATTAGCACATCCTGGATTCCACTGCTAGTCGCCATCCTCCAAGTAAACTCGTTCTTAGTTTCAGATACAATTGCAAAGTGGACTATAAAATAATTTAAACAATCTTCCGAAATAGGCAATACTATGGTAAAATTTCAGAATTGATTAACAAATCAGCTAAATTCATTGCATCATAGGTGAAAATGAAGAACATCCGTGTCATTACTATCTCTTAACAATACAACACTGCAATGAGTTGGAATACTCCACTCTCACAAGGAGGCAACTTTTCACGAACTAAAATCAATTACAGAATTACGGATAACCATGAAGCTCTGCACAGGTATTTTTCACCACTAATACAGATATTGTTAGCAGACAAACACGGTCTTCTGATTGGTGGTTTCTCGCTGAACGTTAATCTTTCATCTCTTTGTAACTGTTCCTTGAAGGTCAGATTATCTATCTATCTGCTAAGCTAATCGTATCCGCCTACGCAAACAAGGAGTGCTGTGATTGGTTGTTGAGTAAGTCAGTCAGTCAGTCTTTGTTCTAGTTCTTCTTCTCTCATGACCAATATTTGGGATGTAAACATTGTCGTAAATTACTGTCTATCAATTTTGGCTGGCTAGCTAGCAAACAGCTCTCACCACACTCCCCCCCCCGTCAAAGACTTCCGACTGAAGTTGGTTCGGTCTTCTTGGTTCTAAGGGCTTTTCCTCGTTTGTCTTGCTGTCTGGGATTTCGGTGCTCGTTGATGTTCACCTGTTTCTCTCTCTTTGTTTACCATTACGACTGTGTCTGCGTAACCCCATCTCCTTCCCACTTTGGAAACTGTTTGCCTGACTGACGCTGTCATACATTCCTCGGTATTTCGCCTCACACATGTTCATATGCTGCTTTCTCCCAATCACCCAGCACCGTCCCAAGTAACAGCCTCATCGCTGAAAGGTCTGAAAAAACACCACTGAAAAGCGCAGAAGCCTCAAAGTCCTTCCCGAAGATCCATAGGTCTCCATGAAAAACTGCAGAGCATAGGCTTTCTATGTGTCGGTAGCCAGTGACACCAAATTTAACAACAGAAGACAAGGGCTACGGAACAGATTGTTTATTTAGGAAATCAACAGATATTTATAGATTCACACGAGAAGGTGAATTTATAAACACACACACACATTGAGGTGGCCTGTCTAAAGCGGTAGTTTATCCTTCACACATCCATTGATCATTTGTCGGCTCTGAAGAAATTCATACGTAACTAAGCCATAAAGAAGGGGCTTTCCTCAGGTGATCGATTAGCATAACCACCGATTCTTCAGGATCTCGGTTGAGGTATCACCTTTAAATTCAACACTCAGAAATACCAGTTTCTTCTCCACACCGTCTGGCTTCTTTCAGGCTTTTCCCTTAACTTCATGTTGTTTTCTCGATAAACCTTGGGGATGTGATATCCATTCTGCATGAGGAGGACTTGTCTGAGTCGCTTTTGCTTTTTGGCTTTAATAATTAATTCACTATTATGTCACTCTCACGTGTTCCCTGTTGTACATTTTCACACCGTGTCGCGACCCACTTGTTAAATTGACACTCAACTACCACCACCTTTATTCTCTCTCACACAATAGCGATTTTAACCTTATCAAATTTCTATCTTTATACTGTTGAGTAACAAGTAATTTACAACTTTTCATATTTTTTTCACTTCTAAAGACACTTCCAAGTAATTATATCAGTTAGGTCACTCCCTCGTACTACTCAATAATAGACCACTATATATTTTTTGGGCAAGTATAAATACGACTGTACAGCCAAGCCAGCCTGTGAAGGAAGATGATTTCGTCGATAAAGTAGCATTATCTTCACTGAATTTGCCTTCTACTTTCTTCAACACTTTAAAAGCTTAAGTCTCAAGCCCGATGTTCTACTCAGAACGCAAAGGAATGGGGAAAAAAAGAATAGATCCCACTAGACCTCACATAATAGGTGTGGTTGACTCAATGTCAACTGCATGAAGATGCAGGTAATCAATCATAATGCTACCGCTATCACTGCTACGAATTTTAACAATAATAATAATAACAACAATAAATGACAACAAAGTATGATTGCAGAACAAGTTACCTTTAAACCATTATAGGATAAAACAAGATCCCGAAGATACTCCATAGATTGGAAGAACTTCAATGTATTCAACAATGTCTACAGGTAAAAGTAAAGTAATGCATAGAAAAAATTAATCAGTCTGCCATCTATTATTATTAATATACTACTACTGGAATCACTCCTATTACAGGAATATACAAGTAGAATAATATGCAAACAAATTGGTGCATAGGCTGATTATGTATCATGGTTTATGCACACACTTTGGATTCCAACTACTCGCAAGCAGGAAAAAACAATCGATACCCTAAAGAAATACAAACCGAAACAAACTGTAATGATAATGAGGAATTGGTGCGTCAGTGGCACAGCGGTTAGGACGCTCGCTGACCATGCCTCACATGGTCCGGGGTTCGATCTCCGCCCCGCCGACACCGCACTCCTTTACCTCGCTAAGCCAGAAGTATTGCTGGTAAAGAGGAAGGTTGGGCATGAGGCTAGCAACCCCATCCTCTAAAATCAAACACCACTACTACAGAAACTTCAAGTCACTAGCTTGAGCCCTATATTCCACTGGGGAACGTGAAGGAAAAAAATGAGGAATTGGCAATTCAGATTAAGAGGTGGGCAAAGTAAAAGAGTTTTTTAATGAGAAGGCTCCGTTAGTTGTTTTTTTATTCCTTAATATGGTGCCGCCACCCCTTGCGTGCATCAACACTATTATGTACTAAACAGTATACCTAAAGAAATCTGATGCTCGCTAGCAGTGACCACTAGCGCTACAGGACGGAGTTTCCTGGGGTCAGTTTTAGTGTGAAGTCGTGACCAGTGAGGTCCAAACAATACAGTAGTCAAGTGTGAGGATGGATTTCCCACCGATGACATTGGTTGGTGCCAGTTGCGCTAAATGCATCACGAATCGATAGAAGTTGGAATTCATGCAATGGCTGGCCATTGAGCAATCAGGTCCCAATGAGTGGCTGAATGGTATACGAGCAAACTAGCTTGCCATGTAACCAGAAGCTCTTGGGTTTAATTACGTGTGCGATCCGTCAGAAATGGTCTGTTAGAAGAAGGACGGACGGCGTTACTCGTCGCTAATAACTTAAAATCGAAAGTTACTAAGAGCCAGTGGATCTCTACTGCCTCATCCGAACTGATTGACGCAAGAAGACTGATTCCGGAAAGCTCCCAATATAATGATGAGGAGCGAAAGCTGCTTAAACGCAAATTAACAAGAAGCCTTTGCAACGACCGTGAACAGTGGTAGGTGACAAAAGCGAAAGAGAAGGAAAAGGCATCGGCAATTCGTAACACCAGACAACTATTTAGGCTTATCAGGGAAACAGGTGGAGAAGGCAAATCATAAGTGAAACAATCTCTGAGAAAAATGGCACCATAATTAGCTCTCAGGATAGTCAACTGGAAAGTTGGAAAGAGCACTATGAGGAGCAGTTTAGTTGGCCTACAGCCACCCTCAACCTGCCTAACATCCAACACCTCCGTGAATGGGATATAGACACAGATCCTCCGTCACTAACTGAGGTTACCAAAGATGTCACTAGTCTGAAACGAGGCAAAGCAGCAGGACCTGATGGAATGACTCCTGAGGTATCTAAGTACGGTGGAGACAGTTTACTGTCTGCGTTAACTAAGATACTAGGTAGAGTCTGGGAATCGGAGGAAGTCGCGAAATTCTTTAAAATTATCGACAGACAAAGGAGCTCGATTCTCCTCAATTTTACCAAAGCAATTTCTATTAAACGCTTGAAATCAGATTTATGCGTGTGTTCAAAAGGAAGCAGTTATTAGTCTTTCCTTGCCCATCCTGGCAACTGGATGTCTTTATTCTCTCCTTCATTCTAATTACCCAAACTTTTGCTTTAACCTCACCCCCCACCCTTTTATGTGTAATTTTGCTTATCTCCTAGAGGAACATGGGGCTTCAGCCAAACGTCTCCACTGCATTCGATTCGCTGATAGAGTTTTCACCTGGCTACAAGTCTGCGGACACGTCTTATTCTCTACACGACCGATGGTGATTCCTCGACTGAAACATGAAGTACCTAGACGAGACTAGCTGGCCAATTCAAATTGTATCTACCAATTCAAATGCAAATGTGCTTGTGGTGGAGCGAGTTAAATTGGCCGTTGTTGCTCTAGCTAGGAACTTGATTTCTAATGCTCACTCGGGGATGTCTCCCATTATGGCTAAGTAGAGGTGTAGTGAAAACCATCATTAGCAGTTGGATATTGGACCATCTGGTGAAAACCGACCGGTCGGTCACAAAGCCAGCCAGCCAGCGTGCAATAATCCTTCCTTCTCTATTGTCATCTACCGGGTGCCTCATAAATTGACAAAATCATCGTCGAAGCACCCATCGAATGCTCCAAACACCAAAGGCTATCACAATTCGCCTCAAACAACCAGTGAGTGCTCTGTGTGTGTGTGGAGACGAAGCAAGTCCAGCCACTACAACTGCCCTGACTGGCCTTCAGTGGGTAGAGACTATAAATTCATGAATTTGTGATATTATCTCTCCTAATTTCCCTTTCTGACATTCAGTTTATTGTTATGTTGATGCTATTGAACTGGAATCCATTGGTATTATTATTATTGATTCGATGTTATTTAAAAAGCAACATTAATGTTGCTGTTCATAACACTAATTCATTCATTGACTATAATGGATGGGTGTATAACTACTGTAGAGCCTGATGATGAGGATGAAGGGGTTATCGAAAAGAGTATTTATTCTTTGTTCAGTATCTCGATCGATTCTTTTGAAAACAATTTTAATAACTTATAATCGCTACAATATCTTCACATATTTCATTTTATTTTATTTGTACATGTGTAGCTCTGACTATATGAAGAGCAAGGAGATCGAATTACAAGAGTTATTAACTGTAAGTTTTGATATTATTATTATTATTTACTTTGATTACCGTTTTCCCTCCTTTTAACTAGGCAGCCAGTCTAGAAATGGTAGTTCACCGACATCTGATTCTGCCTGCTTACGAAGTAACCTGGATTTTGAGAGATAGACAGTTAATTATTATTTTCTCCAGGAATGAACTGTGTAGATCTCGTTTCATAGCTCTACAAAAGTTATCATCATCTACTTATATCTTAAGCCATATTTTAGGAGTAAGTATGCTTGAAAAGATGTTATCTTCGAGGAATCTATTCATGTAAAGGTCGGCGACTATTGGGGAGACTGATAAACCCATAGTAAAACACCATTTGTATGTCTATATAAACTCCCTGACATTGAAATGTTAAAAATAATTACTTTCTAGACAGAATTTCAAGCTCTTAATTATTATTATTATTTCACTGGTGTCCCCGTTCAGTAGACATCTTTGTGATAGCGTTCGTTGTATCTGATTCTAGTAGACTGGAAATGATACCAAAACTATCGGTTATAGGGGTGAATACTAGTTGATATATATATCCATATGTGTGTTTGTTTGACAGTCTGATATACTTTTGCTCTCACACTCTTGTGTGACTTGGATTGTCCTTGTGTTTGGAAAATAGAAGTATCATCGCAAACCTAGTGGTCTTCTGATTTCCGTCTTTCTTGCGTCAGGACTATTAAATTCTCGACCAGTACATAATAACAATTTGGCGACGGGGAAAACTATGGATCCTTCTAAATTGGAATTACTATTTGAACGACAAATGAAATTAATGGAAATGTTCGTCAACCAACAGACTGGTCCAACTTCACCTTCAAGCAATCCCAATCATACCATGCTACCATCTGTCGACGGCATTGTGAATAGTATTTCACAGTTCAATTATAATCCAGATGCGAATGTCACTTTTGACACATGGTATCAACGATATGAGGATTTATTCACTGTTGATCTCGCCTCACAAGACGATGCTTGGAAGGTGCGAGTGTTGTTACGTAAATTGGGTCCGGCAGAATATGAACGGTACTGCAACCTAATTTTACCCCAGAAACCACGTGACAAGTGTTTCGATGATACAATAAAGCTGCTGCGTGAACATTTTGGAGACCACTCCTCATTATTCAGCATACGTTATCGTTGCCTCAAGCTGACAATGAATGAAAATGATGATTTTCTTACTCACGTTGGCACAGTCAACCGAGAATGTGAGAGATTTCGACTCAGGTCCTTAACAGATGATCAATTCAAAGCCTTGATTCTCATATGCAGTCTTCAATCTCCTCGTTTCACAGATATCCGAACTCGACTGCTCAATCAGCTAGAACAAAATCCCAAGTTAACATTACATGACATAGCTGATGAATATCAACGGCTGATTAATCTGCAGAAAGACACACACCTGGTCGAATCAACACCTTCGAGAAGCTCTGATATTCGTGCATTACGAAAGAGCGAAAATCTCTCATCATCCACTCCTGACCCACCTTCTTCTCTAATGTTCCGCGGAAATCTACACATACTCGTCCAACTTCACAAAATACTGCAAAGAAGACCCCACCATCACCATGCTGGCATTGTGGCGCGTGGCACTTTGTAAAGTCTTGTCCATACAAAAATCATCGTTGCAGCAAGTGCAAAATCATTGGTCATAAAAATGGATTTTGTCAGCCACGCAAACCCAGATATCAAAATCCAGCGAAAGCTCGACAAACTGTTGGTCCTAAATCTCCAAGAAATCATTGAGTCTACTCGCAACCTGTCAAGTCACAACACCAGCTATGCGGAAATATCTTGATCTTCAGATGAATGGTCATGATGCACGTCTGCAGCTAGATACCGCCTCTGATATTACTGTTATATCAGAGAAACTTTGGAATAATATTGGCAGACCACCTATCACAAATACTTCCCAGACTCTTGTCAGCGCCTGTGGTGGGCGGCTCAAACTAATTGGTGAACTCAAATGTTCTGTTTCATTCCGTAACAATAAATTCAGAGGAATCTGCTACGTCACCAAGAGTGATTTAAATCTTTTGGGACTTGATTGGTTCGATCGTTTGCATCTGGCTGATGTCCCACTAAATTCGCTATGCAATGCAGTCAAGAAACATAAAATGCCAGACAATTCCGGACGAAGCCGAAGCCGCAAACCCAACAGGTAGACGAAGCAACAGACGTCAACAACAAGCTCAACGGTTCCAGATAAACCCCCAGGAAAACACCTACTAATCATCAATCTTCTCAAAAGGGGAGGTGATATATATATCCATATAATATGTGTGTTTGTTTGACAGTCTGATCTTGGTGACATGTATCCAAATAAATTGTTTGTTTGACAGTCTGATATACTTTTGCTCTCACACTCTTGTGTGACTTGGATTCTCCTTGTGTTTGGAAAATAGAAGTATCATCGCAAACCTAGTGGTCTTCTGATTTCCGTCTTTCTTGCGTCAGGACTATTAAATTCTCGACCAGTACATAACAATAATTTGGCGACGAGTACATAATACTAGTATATGATACGTTAATATCATCATAGCTTAGCATAATGTCTTTTTTTATCAAATTTCTTGGTGTTCTCTATTTGGGATTTGAAATCATGTTTTGATGTCATCAACAGATGTACTATGATACCTGTGTTATGTGGTTTAGTCATTCATCTTCATTGTGTTATATTTGACTTTCAATATGTCCTCCCCTTTTAACTTGACCTAAGTAGTCGAGTCAAGTCGATTTTCTCGTCCCTCCTCTTAACTTTTCGTTATATGTATATGCGCTGAGTGGATTTTGTAAATTCTTCTGGTTTCATAGTACTCCTCCTGAATTGATAAAGCTATTAGCAGCAGCTGCTTTAAAATAGCGAAACGTCGTCAGTCAGTAAGAGCAACGGCAACAAGAATATCGTTTTACTCTTTTTCATTCATTCATTGGAAAATACAGGAAAACAACCTTTATTATAATGAATATCATATACCAACCACCCAATGCCCAAATTGTTTTTTTCAAACTGTTAAAAGTGAACTTGGGGGGGGGGATTGGACCCACACATATATAAGAGTGTACTCTTTGTTCAGTATCTCTATCGATTCTGTTGAAAACAAATTTAATGGGCACTATTTTTTAATTAGTTAAAAAAAGGAAGAGAGAAAGGAACGCATTAACACACACACACTTACAGTAGCTAACACGTGTATCGATTTACTGGTATTCAGCAATTCTTCTAAATGTTGTCTAACAATCATATGATGGTTGAAATCCACATTAACGATATGATCATCATCGCCATCAGCACTGAAAGCAGCAATGCCATCATCGCCGCAGTCATCCGCATCACCATCATTATTATTATTGCGATTATCACCGTGACGATCATCATTAACAACAGAAGAGGAGGCGGAATCTAGTGGTCGGAAACCCAGAGACAGATTGAATCTATTCCCCCCCGTAGGCATTGATATCTCAGCCTGAGTGAAGTGTGTAAAAGTTTAAGGTAAGAGAAAAAGTAAAAAACAAAAAAAAATTCTGTGATGGTTTGGGTTTATATCACACACATATCTCACAAGTGACAAGTGAAAGTTGAACTGGAATTATCAAAAAAAAGAAAAAAGAGAAAAAAATAGATTCACCTTAAAACTTACACAGATCAAGCATTCTTACTTTGTAGAGTAGTGTGTTTTGGTATTTTTCATTTGTGTTCTAAATGAAACAAACCGGATTTAAAATAATTAATCCCTTTTATAAATTTGGATAGTGTCTGATTTCCCACAAACTGGAAGATATACAAGTGAAAAGCAGCAACAAGTTGACGGTAGAAGAAGCATTCAGATAGAAGATAAGACTTCCTTCAGGTGAACATAAAGAAAGCAGAGGTAGGTGATGAAGATTCCTGGCAGAAAGCAACAGCCAAAACAATAACAGACAACAATCAACCAGCATAAATGACAGGGACCTGAAAGAAACAACTTCCTTTACCTACCACCCACCTACCTAACTGGGAAGCATCGTGTCAACCACAGGCGGACAGAACTGACGAGAATATCAAAGCAGCGAGGATCATCGGGAAAGCAAGATAAGCTTTCATTACTCTCAAGTCTGTGTGGAGGAGATCAACAGCACTAATCAGCATGAACATGAAAATAAGATCCGAATTTTCAACTCCAATGTGAAGTCAGTCAGTGCTACTCATCATACGGATCAGAGACTTGGCCAGTGTGTCATGAATAGGGCACCTCAGACAAACGACACACCTTCCTTCCTCAACAGCTAACTGTCTTCGCTGAATACCACTCAAGATCAGATGACCGGCCGGCCAGAAAAGATCACCAACACAGAGGGATCTCTGGCAATGAGCGAACCAACCTAGCACGAACCGATTGTACAACAAATCTGCAGGAAGAAATGGAGGTGGATTGGATTGTGGCCATCCTCTGAGAAAACAAACCATCAAGTGGGTGACATCACTAGACAAGCCATTGCTTGAGTGGAACCGGACCGAAAGGGAAGCGGGTGGCGAGTTGGTCGTCAGTGTGAGGGTGACTTGGATGAGGTCATGTGAAGAGGAGATGATGAAAGCATGTTGACAGACTTGTAGCCAGATGAAAACTCTACCAGAGAACCGAACGCAATGTTGACGTGTGCGGTTGAAGCCCTATGTTCCTCTAGGAGTTAAACGTAACAATAATTAAAATAATAATATTAGAAGCGGAGATTATCTGAAACACGTGATGTAATGTTTTCGCGCTATACATTTTGAACAATCTGATCTCTCACACATTTACTTGTCAAATCAGTATATATATATATATATATATATATATGGAAAAGAATTAAGAGCAATTAAATGAAAAAAATGACAAAAAAGATTTAAGAATGATTAACACAACGTTTGGTAATCCAGTCAAATAAGGATTGTCAACTTAGGTAGGTTAAGATTAACAATAAACCGTTTTTGAATACACAGTTGGGAGTTGGGGCTTAAGTTTATGAATAGTTATAGCTTCGGCGTATTTCAATAAGCGCCCTTGACCATTTTGTGTAGATGACCTTAAAGGCTGAGTTAACATCAATCTTTTGGTTCATCTCGATTAGATGTTAGCTATGACGAAGTTGGTAGTCTCACACCTGTATCTATCGGCTTTCTGCAATTCACTTGTTTTTCTGACCATCTCGGGATATGCTCGCTGTCGCAACCTCACATGCAAAGCGCGATTACTCCTCCCCATGTATGTGTCTCCACACACACACGAAAACTGGTAAATAGTGTGGGATGTGACATAATCACTTATGCACTTTTGAGGTTTGAAGTGGAGCATATTTTAAGCTTTTTCGACAATTACAAGCTGGGCTGTATAAAATAGGTTCTACGGATGATGGAATTCAACCTTTGTCTCGAAAATTTCAGTAGGAGTGGTGTTGCTTTTATAATTCTCATATCCAACCCTCTTTCGTTCCAAGGCTTACCGCTGCTGGCCTGTAAACCAGACAGGGCCAAGTTTAACAATATAGCGTCCCAGGAGTGTGAACGCACAGGAGTGACTTTCAGCTAACCATTCATAAAAATGAGGAATGTTTGCTCAAAAAATGATTGTGTATATTGACAAGAAAATGCTTGAAAACGCACTAACATAGGTTATCTTTCTCTGACATGGCTTAAAGATACGTCCTAGTTGTCACGATGAGTATCAGTTGCTAAGTTAGACTAGTTTCTGTGTACATGTTTATTCACCGAGATAACTACAGATAAACTGTTATTGTGAATCGTTTATCTCCCTTATCCTGCTTGCAGTCTTCCAAAAAAGCCCGCGGTTGAAGTATTATGGTTCCCAGCAAGAGGATAGACGACTACTTACCAGAAAAACGTGGATAATAAAAAATTGAAATAAATGACATCAACTCTAAATCTAGCCTTAATCGTAACCATAAGCTTAATCATGACCCCTAACACTAAACCTAACTTTAATCCTAACCCTAATAATAACTCTTATTCAAACCGTAATTATAACCCTAATGCTACTTTTATAACCCTGATCCTAACCCTAACAAGCTATTAACACATTGTCCAAACAGTGAAATTTGCTCCCAAGTTAGTGAATAGCGTTGATATTTCAGCTGTGATAGTGACAGATGCCGTTGGCCAGCGACTAGCATGCGTTCAATGTGATTCGAGCGTTCACACTCCTAGGACGATATTGTTGAACTTACCCCAGACAGTGTTTAAGAGTGGTACTCAACGGAACAAAGGTAGAAATTTGATAAGGTTAAAATCGCTATTGAGTGAGAGAGAATAAAGGTGGTGGTAGTTGAGTGTCAATTTAACAAGTGGGTCGCGACACGGTGTGAAAATGTACAACAGGGAACACGTGAGAGTGACATAACAGTGAATTAATTATTAAAGCCAAAAAGCAAAAGCGACTCAGACAAGTCCTCCTCATGCAGAATGGATATCACATCCCCAAGGTTTATCGAGAAAACAACATGAAGTTAAGGGAAAAGCCTGAAGGAAGCCAGACGGTGTGGAGAAGAAACTGGTATTTATGAGTGTTGAATTTAAAGGTGATACCACAGTTGAGATCCTGAAGAATCGGTGGTTATGCTAATCGATCATTGAGGAAAGCCTCCTTCTTTATGGCTTAGTTACGTATGAATTTCTTCAGAGCCGACAAATGATCAATGGATGTGTGAAGGATAAACTACCGCTTTAGACAGGCCACCTCAATGTGTGTGTTGTTTATAAATTCACCTGCTCGTGTGGAGCTATTCATATTGGCCGAACAACTTAGCGAACACCTTCGAAACGCATCTCTGAACGTTATCCGGCATGGTTAGTGTCAGATCAATTCTATTCCCATCCTTGAATCAAATCAACCTGTCCCGGATCAGCCTAGCGTTGTTGCAACCCAATTATCCATGCCTAACGTGTCTATCCCTGCTTGTTTAATGAACTGTGTATATGTGTTTTTACCTCGATCCGTTTAGTCAGACAGTTGAACTCATAACCCAATCAGAGTATTTTGTGAACTGTTATTTTTGCTGACCTATGTCTTACTTTGTACTATTCTGTCGAGTTTATCTTATTTATTGATTTTCAAGAATTGGTTTTGTAGGGATTTTGTTTGAATGCATGGAGGATTTCATCATGAGCTGACATCAGTTAGAGAACCAGTGATCTTCATCTGTATTTTCCTACCTGGTTAAGTAGCCAATTAAATTCTATCTTTGTGCCTATGCTCTGTCTATCTCTTAACCCTCTCTGTTCTCCATACTGACTGCTTACCTGAACGGTCTTGTCTGGTTCCGGCTAGTTCGCAATTTTGGCTTTAACGTTATTCCGCTCTGATAGCGGTACCTTGCTTTCTGTTAAGCGTTGTGCTTTGTATTCTTGAAACCGTTAAGGTTTGTTGTATATATAATTATTGATTTGTTTATTAATAGTACCGTAGAAACAGTGACCGGCTTCTTGTTTGTTCTGGACCGGGATAGCCTTTATCTACGCGTGACTTAATTTCAAGCGATATTGCGCTTACAGTTAGGTTAGCGAAAGGTCAATGCAAGACAATTATTAGTTCAATTCACGATCACTTGGTGAACTCAAGCTACGTAGGTCCACCAGAGTCGTCTTTCAACATCATCTACCACATGAAGCCAAATGGTAGAAAGAGTGTCGTGTTTAGGTTTTTTTGTATGGCGGAGGCGCTGTCAATTGGTCAATGCAACCATGAACTCTGTAAATAGACAAAAAGTTTCTCCAGTCTCTTATTCTACCTTGGTCTTAATTTCTTCACACGTCGTTTCCTATAAAAATTTTAAAATTTTACTCCTAGTTAGATTTTGCTTTAATAATTAATTCACTATTATGTCACTCTCATATGTTCCCTGTTGTACATTTTCACACCCTCTAGTGACACACTTGTTAACTTGACACTCAATCAACTACCGCCTTTATTCTCACTCATTCAATAGAAATTTTAACCTTATCAAGTTTCTATGTTTGTTTTTCCGTTGAGTACAGTACTACGTAATTTACAACTTTTAATATTTTTTTTCACTTCTAAAGCCACTTCCGAGAAATTATATGAATTATATCACCCATTCAACCACTCCCGCTCTATTTCTCAATAATAGTAGACCACTATATATATTTTTCTGGGTAAGTATAAATACGACTGTACAGCCAAGCCAGCCGCCTGTGAAGGAAGATGATTTCCCCGATAAAGAAGGATTTTCTTCGCTGAATTTGTCTCTCTCTTACTTTCTTCATGACTATTCAATGGGTATTTTCGGTGATTTGAAGGAGACTTTCAACTTGTGTCCCTTATTACCAGCAATGATTCACTTTGTCACATTTTGTCAGATGGAAGAATAACATCATCACCATATTAGTTAGTAGTAGTAGTAGTAGTCAAATCTTCTTTGTAACCGAAGTTTCAAAGTTTCCCTTCTTTCTTCCTTCATACAGTGTAGTGATTCCTCTAAATTTTATCACAATGGAGACACAAGTGTCACAATCACAGTATTCACAAAAAAGTAGCTTAAAAATCCCCATTGAGTCATATGAAAAAAAAGAGAAGACGTTCAGCGAAGAGACTCTTTTCGCCGGCGAATGGTACACCGTGGGGGGGGGGGAGAGGGCTCTCGATTGGTTGCGCCACAGGATGATGATGATCCTGTATGCCGGGATCTCGTCTCGCAAGAGGTACGGATGGGTGTGGTGTTTGGTTCTCCTGCAAAACCAATACCCCAGTCACAATGGGTGTATCTCAATGTATCTCAATCACAAAAAGTAATTATTCTGAAAAGAAAAAATGAACACAACACAACACAACGACTTCAACTTAGTGATGCAAAAGTGTAGAAAACAAACCCACAAAAACTATACAATTCATTAATAAATAGATGAAAATAATGAAAACACTTACTAGATATGTTTTCCCATAAACCAATGCCAATGATTTCAAATTGTATGAATACACCTCGACACCATCCGGCAGATGAATCTCTGAATACAAGTTTAGGAAATAAGAGAATGAGTTTACAATTAATCAATAACTTTAAACAAAAAAAATACTGTATTTGAAATGAACTGTCTCGTCGTCATCGTCAGGATTTGACAGAAAAATAGTGTTGCAAAATATTTGGGCACTGAGTAAGATGTAGACATTTGTTAAAAAAAATTATTGCATACATGTGTAAAATCTCAGCGAGATTGAAATGAATGATTAATTCCAACGTTTCCTGAGTTCGTCGAAATCTCGTCCGAACTTCTTCAGGGAAATTAACATAACAGCAGAGGTTTATATGCAGAAAAGGGGGACATCTCTTGCTCTTTTCTAAAAACTTTGTCCAATTATATGAGTCATGAAACAAGTATCAACATGTTGTATAATAAACAAAATTGTGTGAGCTGTGATGATGTTCCTTTTAAATATATAAACCTCTACTGTTATGTTAATTTCCCTGAAGAAGTTCGGACAAGATTTCGACGAACACAGGAAACGTTGGAATTACTCATTTCAATCTCGCCAAGATTCTAAAAATTTAATAATATTTTACAAATGTTTACTTCTCACTCGTTACGCAAATATTTTAGAACGATTCTGCAAAATCTTGACGACAGTTCACTTGAATTATTATTTTACAATCGAATTAAATTAACAAAGAAACGATGTGTAATTGGCACAATCATCGTTGTGTCAATCACTCTCTCCGTTGTCTGCAAAACAGAATCCATATATCCTAAAGCCGTACGTAGCAGCTGTCGAGTCACCACTGACAATTCTCCAGTAGGTCGAATTATATTATTATATTATATTATTGTATCCTTTAGTTCTTAGAGGAACATAGGGCTTCAGCTGCGCACCTCCATTGCCTTCTGCTTTCGGACAACTTTTTCACTCCGCTCCAGGTCTGTCCACATGCTTTCATCTCCTCCTCGCATGACCTCCACCAAGTCACCCTTGGACGACCAACTCGCCACCCAATTCCCTTTTGGGTTCCACTCGAGCAATGGCTTGTCTAGTGATGTCACTTGCTGGTTTCCTCAGAGTATGGCCAATCCATCTCCATTTCTTCCTGCCAGTAGGTCGAATAAAGCACCTCAATCTTCACAAAACAACAACAAGAAGAAGAAGACAAAGCAATCAATTCGACAGGGTGTTCGCTCCTCATCACTAAACTCTAATCCTAAACACCAGAATTTTGAAAATATACGTCTCATCATAAAATTCTAGATATACTAACAATTTGAACAGACATGAAGGTGTGATGTGGTGTGGTGTGATGTTGGCTGACGATGCATTGGAAATCCTGATTAATAAACATATAAAAATGGATATGTATCACTAATAAATTATTAATAATACTTCCCGAAATTCCCAACTATCTATATCTTCTTATGGAGACGTTGAGAAATGCTTAACAACTGTTTACACACACACACACTGTTTGAAGTGTTTAACAAGGGTAAACCAATATTTGTAAGTCCGAGGTCAAACATTTTGATCACAGCTCACACAATTTTGTTTAATATACAACATGTTGATACTTGTTTCATGACTCATATGATTGGACAAAGATTTTAGTAACAAGAGTTGTTCCTTTAATATATAATCTTTTATTTTAATTGAATTTTAGATTTCCCCGTCGATGGATTGGACCGAAGTGCTCGGTCTCAGGTTGACATGTCTGTTGGCTTCTTGTGCAGATGCCCAGATATCGTCGAAGCAAAAATTTTCGGTGATTCACAAGTACAGTCCCCTGAGGTACTCCACTTAGTACTGCTTTCCACCTCGACAGGACACCACTAACTCTTACCTTCTGCCTTCTATCCCTCAGGTCTGTCTGCCTGTTTATCTGGATTCAACATAGAACTTGGCACCGAAGTGCACCAGTTCGAGTTGCCACCTTCCAAATACCACACAAAGGTGGGCGAGAAGATGAGTGAAGAGAATCAATACAGTCTGACAAGTATAAGAGTGAAACAGAATGGGTAATGGTAGAAAGAAATATGAAAGATTACAGAGACTGAATACATCTGCGCCAGCCATTGACAACGATTTTGAGCCATGTGTCACCTATTGTCTCCAGCCATTGATTCCTAGAGTCTCCCGAGGGCCCCAACCCGGAAGTCTGCATCTCCTACCTACCGACTCAGTTTAACTGTCAAGGATTTTATGGATTGGTGCCATGTTTTTGTTTGGCCACCACTTACTCTTTTCCAACCTGCACCTATATCAGCTAATAATGCCTGTCGGGGGAGGGGGGGATGGTTAGGCGTGTGCAGCACGTGACCTAGCCATCTCAATCTACATAACTCTATAGCCTTGTCGATTGATTTTCCCTATTTGCCCAACACTCTACGCCTAACGTCAACATTACTTAACTTACTATACCACCTAAAGTGAGAAAGAGATCGTAGACATCTATGATCAAAAACAGTCAGAGATGGTGTAAGTCAGCGAAAGCAGCTCGAGCTTTTTGCATCCGTGCTGAGATTTCGTCGCCAATCAGTCCGTTGGTGCTAATACAACTTCCCAAATAGGCAAAGTGGTCAACGCGCTCTGCCAACCACTTCACCCCCGATCAGTAAGCTAGGAGTTGATATAGTCCAGTCCTGTAGCAGCATCTTACATTTTACAGGGGCGAATCGCATGCCAAACATACGAAGATTGCTGCACAGCTCAAGGTGTTCAGAAAACTCTGCTGGATTTTGTCAGCATCCTCCCCTAACAGGACTATGTCATTTGCATATTCTAAGTCCATAAGACTATTTCCCTGGTAACAGGTCGATTCCTAAGTCGTTATGTTCAATTAAGGATACTTCCATTAGCATATCTATGATGAAGTTAAACAGAATGGGGAAAGTGGACATCCCTGGTTGTTATCAATTCAGCGGATGGGCGGACCAGTGTCTATGTCCCATTCGGATGTGTGCTGGATGGCGGGGAGGTTAAATTGTTCCTCAAAGTGTTCTTTCCAGCTTTCAAGCCGTCTATCCTGAGAGCTAATTAAGGAGCCATTTTTCTCAAAAATAGTCTCACTTATGATTTGCCTTCTCACACCCATTTCCCTGATGAGTCTAAAGAGTTGTATGGGAGCTAGAGATAAACTGCCTAATATCAACTCTTCTATGTGTATCTATCTACCAATTTAACTCATCCTATGGAGCCAGTTAGTTGCATAGGCCGTACAATCAGGCGTCAGATTTCCCGACATAATCCTGCGTGGTTTTTAAGTAAAGGACAAACCAAATCCATTCATCATAACTCTACTCTATCGTATCTTGTGGATAAAGAATACAAGATATGATATGTTAATGAGGTTTTCAAAGTCATCCATCTATCGCACACCGTTAACTTTCAGAGTTTGTCTAATTAATACCTATTGCTGATCCCCACATTGGGATGCCCACATTAAAAAACCTAAGTTATACATCCAAAAGAAGCTGGTTCACACATTGTCCTTACCTTCCTTGGTCATGAAAGCTTCAATGATCCTCAATTTGGTTGTTGTTGTGGAAATTCCCCTAATTTTATTTGATATTCTAATTGCTATTACATTCTTATGCTTATCACAATTTTTTTAATAACAATAGTAATATTAATTTGATTTATTCCAAAACAGTACTTGTGATACACAGAATGGAATTCTCACCATTTCACTACAGTATTGCGCATCCAGTTTGTACATTAACAATAAACAATAAATAAAATTCTGCATAGGTTATGGGTGGATAGTCTCAGTTAGTTTTTGACAACAACAAATCGGTGGCATATCGATCGGTAGCAAAGCCAAAAGTGAACAGAATGTTGTTTGAAGGTGTTAGCAAAGTAGATAGACTAGCATATTTACTGGCGTAAGTGGTAACAAAATGATCGAGATATACAGAGAGTGTGAAAGAACGAAGAAATAAAAGAGAGAAAAGGAAAAGAGAGAAAGAAAGAAAACGTTGTACCTATAAATGATATGAGGAGTTGGAAAGACGAGATCCAAATTGTTCTACTGACTATTTAATAAGTTATCAGTTTCACGCCTAATGCTTTCTTCTTTGTCGCACAGAACACAAGTTAATTAGGGTATGGTTGAGGTTTTGTACTTGCTAGTGAGAGCACATATAATTTTGCTATATAGGCTTCTGGTTCAGCCTGATGAGATACAGGGGCTGTTGGAGAGTTGTGAATGAAGAGGGTGATGGTATGAGTTAGATAGATAGAATGGATTTAGCCCACTTTTCACATGAGTCCAAGTGCCTGTCGACCAGAATATTAACAAGCTGGTTGCTTAAGTGGCACATTGCTTACCACCCTGCTGGCAACCTTTAACAAAACCCTACGTAATAAGATATAGTCCCTCTTCAGTAGCCAACTTTGGAAAAACTAACGGGGAACAATAGAGGAAAATAGGCAGGATGCAAGAGTTGAGGAATCGTAGGGGAGTAAGGGTTGGGTTGGGTTATTATTCCAGAATGTCGTAACTTCTTGATGTAGAAGGTGGTAAGACGGAATATTTTCTTAGAAATCATCAAAGTGTGAGACGACCATGAAGGAAAGATCAGCAGATAGAATGACGCTAGGAAATTTAATTTCCGACTTGGTCTCTTTCTCTATTTCAGTGCCATGTATGTTGCACACCTCGTGAGTGCATCTTTCATGAACTGTCTGTAATTCCATGGATCTAACACTTAACGAATCGACAGTAGTTAAAAACACCAATATATATATATATATATATATATATATATATATATATATATATATATAAACATCTATTGAGAAATGTATCGGCACTTCAAGGTGTGCACAGATCACGTGACATCAATAATTAATAACCCAATGTAATTCATTAAATAAAAGTTAGGTATTGGTTTATTTACACAAAAAATAACCGAGGTGATAAAATTACAATATTATCCACTATGCCAGATGCGTCTAGTGAAGAAAGTGAACTATCATCCTTTGCTGCAGATGATGACGATAGCGGTCAAGAAGGCGTAGGCACACT